TGGTTAGGCGGTGCACTGGTTTCTCCAATATTCACTGTTCAATTGTTGTTTTATTTTACATGATCATCAAGTCAAGCAGGGTTAGAAAGCTTGCACTCTACTGAACTATGGGAGAATGTACAGCAAGTACTCGTATCGCCTCACGAAGGTAAGTACGCCCACAAAAAAACTGACGCGGAACCGAGAGCGGTTGACGCATGACGAGTCAAAAAGAGATGAAGTGGGTGTACCATATGAATGCTTTCACACTGGCCATCTCTTGCAAGCACAATTTCAGCAATTGCTACCATTGACATTAAAACATTTACAGATGTTCTAAAAAACCGTTTAGTATTTGGAGTTTTCTGTTTGGTAATCCAAAACCATTTACATCTCTACATGATCTTAGTGAATATAAGATATCTGCCAGAATAAAATATAAGTAAAAAGCTTGGGTTTACTAAGTATATGTATTGTAATTTTTGTTCAATCTTTTGAAGATCACTTACAACAGTGATACCATAAGTACACAATGTACATAGTTGAAATTAAATAATATACATTTCAAAATAATCTTTATTCTAAACATAATACTGCTTCCTCCCCATTAATAGTTTTTTCTTTACCATGAAGCATAATGTACTCTCTTTTAACATTAGCAAATAAAATATCAGTTAATAAAAATATCAAGGAAATGGCAAATGCTAAGGTAACTCCAAAGTAAAAGTTGGCATTGGCTGAATTACAATATATCCACAAGTACCACAATACAGGAGCTAAACAACTGGATATCAGTAAAATAACACCAACTATAAAACCTTGCTGACTAAATGAAGCTTGATGTAAGAAACAAGGAAGCAAACTTATAACAAATCCTACATCTCCTACACATGGGTATGACTTGAAGATTGTTGTTATCAGCAGCACTGAAACTGTGAGCAAAAAAGGCTGTTTTCTGAATCGTATAGATAATGGTATCACATACAAGATTGTTGCATTAATTTGGAATGCATAAATGAAAAGTTCCCTGAAATGGTCAAACATCTCTGTGAAGAAGTACCAAAAGAGACCTATATTAGGTTGTAAATCAGGCACATTCAATATACAGCCATACACATTTTCTATAAAACTAAAACTTGTTCCAAAATTACTGTTGTAGAAAAAAATACAAGCCATAGATGCTAAAAATATGACTATATGAGCAACAGCATTATTAATGCTATGATGCTTATTAACAAAGTATAATGTTGTTGGAAAAATTAATGAAAGAGGATAAAAAGAGATAGAACTGCATAATGCTAAAAAGAAACCACAAAATGCTGAGCCATACACCATGAGTAGTAATACTAATGATAAATAAAAATTGTGAAATACTGTTGTGGCATATCCAACACAATTTAGAACAGTGAATGGATTGAAGTCAAATGCCATCAGTACATAAAAACTTGCTTTTTCTATATTGTTAGGTTGTATCAAGTATTTCTCCACACCCTTTGCATAACTCTTTTCTTTCTGTTTCTCTTCTGTATATAATTGTTTTTGGTACTCTAAAGTCACCAGGTACAATATACATCCTGTAGCAATGTCCACAAAAATGAAAACCAAAGTAATATTATGTTTAAATTTTTCTATGAGACTCTTGTAAATAGTGAGAGATAGCGACGTTTCATGTATCAGATCTCCTCCATAAGGGTCGATATTCCTCTCGAGCAAAAATAGGCCTTCTAACACTCTCTTCCAAGAGTTTAAAGGCGTTGAGACTTCGACATGGTTTGCGATGATCGACTGGTATTTGGACGTCATCAAGAAGTAGCGTAGAAGTGCTGCAGCTGCACATGTTGATATTAAGTATAAAAGTGGTTGTTTAGAGCTTTTTGGTTCCATAACTTTGAAAGGTTTCTTGTTTGTTTATGATTTCTTAAGCATTTGAGGTTTGAGGGTTAGGTTTTAAGCCTTCATATATTTTGACGTTTAGCATGGCACACTTAATTGAACTAGATGATGAATTTGTCGGATGCTAGACAGTGATTAGAAGATGAACGCCATTTTAGGTAGATTGCCCTATCAATTAGTAGATGTTTGGACACGTGATTTAATTAAACTAACCCACCACCTTTTTCTCATTGTGAAGAACTATAGTTCTGGCCCAAGTAAAGATAATATGGTCACGCAAGACAACTATTGAAATATATTCTACTAGACTCTAGAAGAGTATCCGTAGCGAAATTTTTCTCGAAATCGTTGCACACCGCTTGAAAAATGCAAATGAAGATTAGAAAACTGCCATTCTGATGTGCTAAATGACGGCGTCGTTATCCCGGGATAGCCATACGATCTTGTCATTCTTGTCACCTAGATTGCGGCATTGCCGGCTCATCGGACAATTTTTTAATGTATCTAAATACTTTTATAAATGCCCAGTTTTTTTAGGATAAAGTACTTTTTGAATACAATTGAAAAAAACTATGTTTTATTATATAAGTATATTTAATAACTATTTGATCAAAAATACATGATTATTAATAGGAGAAGAACGATTTTCATTTTACTCTACCATTTATTAGTATCCGTCTTATACGCAGAGATATTAGGCATTCATTTTGAGGAAGCTAAAAATGGACAGCTGAAGGATTTGAACTTGAATCCAACTTATAACTAGTCGATCATGTGGAGTTACATGCAGGCGGAATCAGCATTTTGGACGCATCATATAACCCTACTCTTGTTGGACATTTGGCGCCCACGTATTCTCCAACAACCGAGGTAAGACATTGTAGTTTAATAAACACGGGGCTGAGATTCCAGGTTTGCAAACGCCAAAGAATCAACGCTTGATTTTTTGCACCCTGGTGTCAAGGGCTTAGTGTCAAAGCACGATGTGAAATACATACTTCAATACTGTCAGTTATTGACTATCACCAATTCCTTGTACTAAAAATAGTCTTTTGTTCGAGGCTTTGCTAATACTTTTGAGAGTTTTCAGAAATTAATGAAAGTACATAAGAATACTTCTCCAAAGTGGAAATTAGGTCTTCTACTTCCAACTCTTCTGAGGGAAACGGGATACATGTGCAGCAAACTAGGTGAGCCTTGCATACTCATCAACTTGTGTGTTAGGGTTGACATCCTATGTTTTTTAAATAAATTGCGCACATTCCATTCACTGAGAGATTATACTCATATACTGATATTTGGGAAAAACTAAAGTTTGGCCAAATTGTTTTAATTTTTGTCTGACTTTATTTTAAGAAATGTCAAAAAACTAATGGCAGTACATGGTGGTGTTTTTAAATGTGCCCGAAGTGCACAACATTTAAAAAGTACGACCTTGTATCTAATAGCATCTTTTTCTATGACTTCAACGATGTATCACGTTACATTTGTTTTTTTAAGTTATAAAATAACCCTGTTTTTTTGTCTATTTTTTCATTTTATTTAACCTAGTCTGATCCTTATCTTGGCCACCCTGTAATAGATTATTATAAAAATAAATTGACAGAAACGTTCTAACGTTCTTACCTTGATTGTTGGAGGATACGTGGGCACCAAATGTCCAACAAGAGTTAGGGATGTGATGCGTTCAAAATGAGTCTGCCTGTAATTCCACATGATCGACGAGTTAGCTGCCCATTTTTAGCGTCCTCAAAATGAATGCCTAATATCTCAGCGTATAAAGCGGATACTAAAAATAGAAAAGTAAAATGAAAATTGTTATTCTCCTATTAATAAATATATTTATATAACAAAAGATTGTTTTTTCCAATTGTTGGTATTCAAAAAGTATTTTTATCCTATAAAACTGGGCATTTAAAAAATGTTCAGAGACATTATTAACGTTCCGCCGCATGGACGCCAGGCGACGCAAAATGTAAATAACAGCTTTTGTTTAGTTTTTTTGCTACGCCTCAAATTTTATATATCCCCATTGGTAGTCCTCAATATTTTATTCAAAACTTCTTTTTTTTATATAACATTCTATCACAATAGTAGTGGTAGCAAAATTGTCTGATAAGCTGGCAATGCCACAATCCATGTAGCAAGAATGACAAGGTTATCTGTCAAGACGGATGTCTATCCCGGGGTATCGACAAAGTCTTTTACAACATCAAATCGGCAATTATCATTTGCATTTTTTAAAATCAAATTCAAGCGGATAACCAAATGGAAATGGTATTTACCATTTTGGGTTGGTATTTACCAATCCGTTCAAGCGAGTGTAGTTATCAGTTTGGTTATAAGATCCGTGACGTCACGAATCAGCTGTTATATGTCATAGTTATCACCGCAAAATTGTGGTATTTACCCAACTCAAGAGTAGTTTTATATTTCTGGTTATTATTTGAAATGTGACAAGTTAGAATTTTGCCGGGTATTGGATATTGTTATTGTACTTCAGCTTCATTTTTGAGAAAAATGATACAGGCTGACTTCAGTTTTACCATAAAGTGGAGCACCTTATTAGTTATACTCATTACGGTTGTTGGGGACACTTTAAATGTAGTTCCTATGCTTAACAAAGTATCATTTGTAGCCATATAGCACAAGGATATTAAAATATGGCCATATAAACTCACTAGATGATATCCACCTGTATACGGTTTTGCTAATTTCTTTTTTCATCATTTCTGCTGAATCAATAAATGTTTTCTTTGACATGCGGAAAAATTTAGAGAATTGAAAGTTATCACAGCTACAAAGCCATGGTTCCATCATTAAAAAAAAATCTGAAAAAAACATTTCTCCCATGAATATTAAGAAAGGTTTCTTATTTAAACTTTCCATATACAGTTGTAGACGAAAAAGCACCGATTATTAAGTGATAATAAAAATAATCAGAGATTATATACGCGCTTTTCTAAAATAAACAACTTGCAACAAAACCGCGGTTAAAACCAACGCGTTCAAGCGATTCGTGTAACTGACGTCATCAACCCGTGTGTCATCTTGAACCATATTATAACCGCGGCACATAACACAGAAATTTTGGTTATTCGCTTGGATTTGATTTATGTGTTGTGCAACGATTTCAGCAAAAATTTCGCTATGGATAGTATTCTAGAGTCTAGTAGAATACATTTCAACAGTTGTCTTTCGTGGACATGTTATGTTTTCTCGGACCAGGTGGATTCTTTAATTCACCGGTTGATTCCACCACTGATGCTTATGGTTGACACTGTTGACAGCTTTGTATGGTGATGGCAGCAACCGGTTGAATTAAAAGGACAGATGTCTGGTCCACCGGTGGCACCGGTTGCTCAACCGGTGAATTAAAAAATACACCAATGTTCTTAACAGTTTTGACAAATCTGTCAATTCTGTTTTGTTTTCCATGGTCATTTATCAAAAATTACATACTCATGCAGCATCATTTTAGAAAAATAAATTGAGAATACAACAAAAGAAGTTACTGAAACAAAATGTCTAATGTGAACGAAGTAGGTAATTTGTACAAGCAGTTGAAATCAGAGTGGAACACCTCCAACCCAAACTTGAGCAAATGTGGCAAGTTGCTCTCAGATTTGAAGGTAGGAAAGTCTCTTATATTTCTTTGAATTGTCTCAGTGACCATTTTATTTTAGTTGGAGCTGACCCATTTGATGTTCCTCCCCACATCTAATGCTTCTGTATCTAAACAAGAACTGCTATTTGCAAGAGATGTACTAGAAATTGGGGTACAATGGAGCATAGCAGCCAATGATATTCCATCATTTGAAAGATACATGGCTCAACTGAAATGCTACTATTTCGACTACAAAAATCAACTACCTGAATCTTCATTCAAATATCAGCTGCTTGGACTGAATCTATTATTCCTGTTGTCTCAAAATAGAGTAGCTGAATTTCACACTGAATTAGAACTACTCCCTGCGGATCATATCCAAAATGATGTTTATATCAGGCACCCCCTGTCTATTGAACAATACCTAATTGAAGGAAGTTACAATAAGGTAGTTGTCAAAAATTGGAACTGCTAGCATGATTTTAAACAAATTTTATATGATTTATATTTTGGATATTGTTTTAGATTTTCCTTGCAAAGGGCAATGTACCAGCTAAAAGCTATAACTTCTTCATGGACATCTTATTGGATACAATTAGAGGAGAGATAGCTGGTTGTCTAGAAAAGGCTTATGAAAAGATTTCATTGACAGATGTTGCCAGAAAGCTTTGCTTACCAAATGAAGAGGCTGCTAAACAATTTGCAATAAAGGTTTGTATTCCTTGGTAAAATTCTTTATTCAAACAAAAATGCATTCTTAATAGTTTAAATACATTATTTACATCCATTTATCAAGAATGGTGCAGTTTATTCTGATATTTCACTTATATGATTAAATAATAAGCATTATAGAAATTAACCAATGTTGATTTTATTCTGGTTATTGATAGTATGTAACCATAAATTTCTTGTCAAACAGTATAAGAAAATAAGATACTTCTGATAGTCACATTCTAGGTATATGGTGTGGAAAATCTTATCTTACTAGAACTTGGTTAGATACAAGTATGACCTAATATTTATTTTTCCTTACAGAATAAGTCATGGAAATTGGGCAAAGATAACTTCTTCCATTTCAAACCTGAGGTGAAAAAGACTCATGAACCTATTCCTTCAAAGGTGTTAGCCTTGCAAGCAGTTGAATATGCTAAAGAGTTGGAGATGATTGTTTAATGTCATTTAATAAATTATTCATTTTTTATATATTGCATTCACCTTACACAAAATATGATTATGGAAAATAAGTGATTTTCATTAAGTAAAATATTTGTATGTAAGAGTAGTTTTATTTGATACTTCCACTTTAAACAATTTTTTTTATGCTGAAGCAGCCACGCAGGTAGAAGCCTAAATGCCAGGACACTGTGGCTGTCACAGTATGTAACTAAGCCTCTTGGAATAATCTTTCAAATGTCTAGGTACAGCTTATTATCAAAAAGTCTGTCCATTTCTTGAAGATGTCTAGCAAACCTTCATATTCAGTATCTAAGGTTTAGCTACTGGAAAATTCTCTCATGTGCACATAGTGAGGAAAACCTCAATATCAGTTATGTTTTATCTTGAATGTCTTTCCACTTTTTTGTGAATTCTGTAACTCTCTTGCTCTGTTCTTCAAAACTCTGCATCCTTGGTTTTCTCCATTTGCTATGATGCAAGTCAAGCATGCCTCCAATAACTTCTTGGGCAAAATTATCAGGAAACAACCTTTCATCTTCAATTACGTGAGCAAACCCTTCTTCTATTCCAAAATTAACAGCAAAGTATGAAAGGCCCTTTGGAATAGCTCTCCTAACATCTCTTTTATTAAGCGAGACTAGTTTCTTGTTCTGAGCCCATTCCATTTCAGATTCATCGATAGCTTTTTTAAAGTAGATTGGGGTCATTTCTCCATTTGGAAGTGGTACACACTGGATGCACATATGTGGGAATCTGTTGAGGTATTTTGCACTTTCAAAAAGGACAACTTCCTTGTTTTGCAATCTGAACACTTTAATGAGGGATTTTTGTATATCACGAATCTCAGACCATTCATTTTCATCTAACTGAGTGGAGCAAGGAACATGGCGGATTGGTATGATTAAACAATGCTCTGGCGTCAAAGGTTCATGTGCTGGAACAGCCAAATAAACAGTCTCACCCATTGAGACCATGAGATGTTTTTGCATCTTGTCAGATTGAATGCATCTTGGGCAATTCTCCAAATTTTTGCTGATATTCTGCTGCTCTCTGATGGCTTTATCTCGATTTCTAGACTCAATTTTTAAGCTTGATTCTTCTTTCCTTATGTTGTCTGAGAAAATGTCATCTAAATCATCTTTCTTTGATATCTTCCCAGCCATTTTGACAAAATCTCGATCTTGACTCTCCGCCGTGCTATACTTCTCCCTCTCAAACATCTGTTGGAGTGAATATTTATCATCATCGGCAAAGTACCTTGTCCTCTGTCCATCTTTGTGTGTTTCAATTCGTTTTTTCTTTTTACGACTTGGTTCTCCATATTCAGCAGAAGATTGCAAAGGTATTGATTGGCCTTTCGAATCTGTATGGGTCAATATAACTTCTTCTGTTTGAGTAGATGGTTTTAAGTTTGCCCTTGCATGTTCCAGCTTGTCTTTTAATTCATTAATTAGCTTAGTATTACCCATTATTTCAGCTTTAACTAGTTTCGCAGCTAGGGTATTCAAATCCTTTTCGGTAAATTCTTCTTGTTGTGGTTCAATTTGTTTTTCTTGGATTTCTTCAGGCTTACTTGTACTACTTCGATTACTTGTGGGTATACTCTTATCTGATTCAGGTTTCTTTTTCCAACTAGATACCCTGTTCTTATATGAATCTCTACTTTTATAATCACTTTTGCTAGCAAAGCTAAAATCATCGAACTCTGATGATGGTTTTTTAAAAGTTGGTAACCCATCACCTCCATCTTTCCAGTAAGGATTCAGTTCTCTTTCACATTTTCTAGGATCATACATTTTCTCTTCTCTTGCCTTTCTTTTATTCTCCTCTCTCTGTTGCCTACGATCCATGTTTGATGTTGATGAAAATGTGGTAGACATACTCATCCAATCTTCTCTTTTTGAATCAGTGTGCTGCTTGGAAGCTGACTTTTCTTGATATTCATTATCTGAATCAGAGTCTGAATACTCTTTAATTATCTTCTTGATGTTCCTTTTACTGGTAGAATCATCTGACGGGTCTGAATCTGAATATTTCTTTGCTTTATTTTTTGATGTTTTCTTGGCGGAATACCTATTATCTGAAAGACTTGAATCTTCAGAATCATTTGAGTCGCTGTATTCATTATATTTGGATGATTTTGTGCTATGTTCAGGATTCTTTTCAACCCATTCATCACTAGATGAACTTGAGGTTCTGGATTCCCTTTTTGATTTTGTCTTTTTGCTCTTCTTGACTTTTTTTAATTTGTGCTTGCCCTAAAAGCAGAAATATACAATATTTAATGTATACAAACTGTATATAATAAACATACCATTTCAGACAAGCAAAAGCTTGTTCCTGAAGTTGACAGGTCAATTACCCGTGCGTAAGTTTTGATGGTAATGGTATTTTCGCTTGTTTATTTTGCGGCTCCAACTGTTTATAGTGTAATAAAATGGAAATGTGGAAAAATAATGATTTTTATGGATCTTCCACTACTTTAAGGTTAGAAGCAAGAATTGAGAGGTTAATACACAAATGACACAGAACAACTAAACAGAAACACATACGTGAACCAGACTTAAGTGTTGAGTCAGATACACAATCTCCAGTTATTCGAAATAGCGTTATTGCCCTAGAAATGAAGGGCATTTCGCAATTTTCATTCAACAGAAATTTGGTGCAATTGCATCAGTTTCTCTGTTACGTCCAAACTAGACAAAAAGAAAAAAGGTATCGGTTGTCTCAAGTCTCAAGCCACTGAGTGTTTTTAAATGGTTCGAAACTTTTGGGATTGTTAATTGGAAAGAAAGTTCATTATCAGTGTCGAATCTTTTAGAAGACATATCTAAAAATAAAAGCTATTGCTTTTTGGTAGAGGTGAATTTACCTTTCTCAGCGTTTCTCCACGTCGATAGGTAGAAGAAAACTATTCAGCTCAGCCGTATAAGAGTTTAAGTTAGGATGAAAGCTTCAGAACTTTATCCTCATTAAGTTTTGTCAGATAATTCGGCAAAGAGGCGTTGGATCTACTCCAGAAAACCTCAAGAATGAGGTATTACCAAAAAAGTGTTTTTTACGAAATATTGTGTTGTTTCTAAAAAGTATATACAAATTAAGTTATTTCCACTATAATTTACGAGTTGTCACAAACAAAACCGTTTCAAAGATCAAATAAAATGCACAGAATTTAAAATGGGCTCTGGGAAAATTCATCAGTTTTGAAAAATATAGATTGCAAATAATCCCTATCATTTATTAAAATACAGATATATCTCAGTGGGAAAACTTATCTCATTGATTCTTTAATTTGAGTGAGCGCCCATTTGTTATACATTGTAGTATGACCAACATTCCCACTGTATAATATAAAAAATGTCGTTCCTATGAGTCATAAAACATGCTGTAACCATTTAGAGAAATTCAGAATAGCATCAAGTATATGTATTATCCCATAGTGATTTATGTAAGAATTTTATTCATGAGAAGAGGCCGAGACATCATTGTGTGAATTTTACCTTGATGAGATTCATAAGTTTTAACAATTTTTATTGCTTGCAAGCACAAATTTATTGCAAGGATTGAATATCCATAGCAATTATTTTTAAATGTTGAATGAAGATGTCGAAAATTCGCAACATTTATTTCTTGCTGACGTCTGAGTATGTCAGTCAGTTAGGCTAATTTATCCAGTTTCTTAACGACTAATATTCATGTCTTGCCCCTTAAATTACCCAAGCGAGGCTTCTCCAACCTTCAAATCTGTATGTTTTCCCAGATTCTGGTGTTTTTGGGGAGGAGGCATATTAAAAATAATAATTTAAAATGGCAAGAGGTGTGAGACTCTACCTACGTAGCAGCGAGATAGCTTAACATTCTCTACCGCCACCGGAGATCGTTTTTTTAAATAATTTTTAACGACAATGCGCAAGTTAACGAAATCTTGACCAGTTAGATCCGCATATGATAATGTCTGTTGAAAACAACTTTTTTAGATCGTCAGGGACAGACTAGAACTAACGGAAATGCATCATAATGTTTGATTTTGTTAAAATGAGTCGTTTTTAAGAAAAACGATATTGTTTCAACGCAACTCCCATCTGTACTGCCGGCATTCCTGAAAAAGTTTGACAAAAGGCCAAAATTTGACTAAGTGATCTGAAATATGAATCTTTGGTTTTTTAGATCGTTGATCACGAATTTATCGTAATTACCATATTTTCAAAATGGCGGAACCAGTATACTTCATCCGGTACCAAAATTGATACAAATATTGCTGAACCAGAGTGCTTTTCTCAAAAACAATATTATCTTTGAGCCTTTGTCATACTGAGTGCAGACAAATATCTTTTAGCAAACAAGTATATCAAAATATAATTCATTTTATCTTTCAGAATAATCAACGAAAATGCCTTTTAAGTTCAAACACAAACAGAACTCCAGAAATAAAAGCAAAATTGATGTAGTCACAATATGGAATGTACTGGACGATACTGACAAAGGGAAGTTTATTGGGAAAATCCCTAAAAAGTTTGCCAACTTGCATACTTGTATTTTTTGTTGATTTTGTCTGTCTAAGATGCTTGTATTTTTTAATAAATGGTGTTAAATGTAACGATTTTTGATTACTTATCACTTAACAGAACTCAGGGTACTCAGGAGGCATTAGCCAAATGTCATGTCTAATAAAACTGTCAACTGCAACTGCAAGACATCCACATAAGTTGTAGTTCACGGACTGTGCTTCAGTATCCAATTTCAGTAATGGCAATATACTCATTACACCCGCACGGATATTATGTAAATTTCCTATAAAACGTCAAAAAAACCTATAAAATGTCGTCTTGCAGACTAGGTAGTTTTTAGGGTGCAAACACTCATTCCACGTTTGCTTACTAGGATCGCTGTGAGCGTCCATCTGTAGATGAATGACTCAACTAAACTACACGCATTGTTGGTTGCATATGTTTTGTGAAGCCGAGTGGTCTGTAGTTTTTATCTCTGAGAAGAGAGTTGGTTGAATAGCAACATCGCATCTGGGTGATTCTGTGTATTGGTTTACATATGTATAAAATCAGTGACTGTTAGCATGTATATGACTTGTAATTCGACAGTGTATAGTGAATGTAATTATTTCTTATTTCTATCATTTTTGAAATTCAGCAAATGTGCATATGTAATTTCCAGAATGGATAAGAAAAAGTGGATGCGCAAATGATTTCTAGCTTTGAATCGCAAGTAAGTGTATTTGAGACAAGAATCCAATGGAATTACCAACACATACAACATATTGTAAAAAAACCTACATAATATCAGTACAGTATAATGTCAAAAAATCGATATAACGTCACTTTTCAAGATACGTAACACCCGTGCCGGTTTTCCACCCAATTAGCAAAGTAGTGCTATAAGCTTTTGGTAAAAGAACCATTCAGCCATAAAAGCTCTCTATTGTTGTTGCCTGAACACCAAAATGCTGGCTTAATGTTGTGAGGAATGCAAATTTGCTTTCTGCAACATATTTGCTCTAAAATGAGGTGTTTAAAATATTCTTTAGAATAGTTATACAACACCGTATAGGACAAATTTTTAACTGTTGCATAAACGTTTATACATCTATTTTATACGGCATATTTGCACGTTAGTCAAAATGGTTGTGTTGTGGCATCCATGGTAACGTTTATAAAACAAATCCGAGCCTTGTTGTTTTGCTGTGCATATTACTACTTTAGCCAACAAGTTGCTCCCAACGGAAGCACTTATACAACTGTTGTTTAGTAACTGTTAAAGGCTGCACATATGCTAAATATGTTGGTATACAACTTCACCATAACCTAACTTTCTGCTGTCATATTTTTGTTAAAATGTTATAACCAATGTTTTAAGACAAACAACGCATGTATATTGGTTCAAAATGTTTTATCAACTGTTCAAACAGAATATATAGATCTGGTACAAATTCTGGGTGAATCATTCGACTCTGTCGGTATTTCATTTCAGACATTTGTCAAATTGTTGTATAACACCTGCAGGCAACACCAAAATATTCTAATAAACTGAAGAGAACATGGACGATGCCATGATTATACACAACCACCAGCCATATTGGATAAACATTTATTCCTCTATTTAATATTAAATAATTATGTTTCAGTTCGAAATTACAGATAAAAAGTGATAAACATTAGTGTAATTGTGTTTAAATATAGGGTTTGTGGAAGATTTGACGTAGATAAGTTCAGTTTCATCTAAAAAATCTAGACATACTTTTGATTAGATATTATCAAAATATGCATGAGAAAAGAAGACCGTAGAAATTGCGTAACTACTTTGCACGATAATCACAATAAAATTTGCTGCGCAATTCAATAGCCCTATATCACATTGTAGAGGTTTATCATATACCTGTGTATGAAATTCACAATGGCCGATATGTAAGTAAACAAGATGACTGTAATGTGTTAGTTATATATTCTTCACTTCGTCTATGCAATACATAAGAAATAGTTTGGTTGCAATAAAGTAGAATCACGTAACAGAACAGTTGTATAGTTGACAAAAACTGAATCTTGCACTGACGCAAATGTCCTATAGTGGCTGCAAGGAGCTTACACTTTTGTGTCTAAATGTTACCTGCAGCCCTTATACAACCTCTAAAATGACTGAAGTGTCCTATTAGGTGTCTCCATTCCGCTTGTATAGCTGTTCTAAAAGGGTTTTGCCAATGTTCTTACAGTATTATACAATGCTGTGTAAGGAATATTGTATAATCATTTTTGCAACTCTAATAGGAGTGATAATTGTTAGTTGGGATTTCACTTTTCTCTTCAGATAGTCAACATGGAATGCTTCATTTTTTTTTTCAAATAACTCTACTGCGACTGTCACCAACACAAACTTCGAATCGGGCCTCATCATTCCATTGTATTGCACACCATTGTTGAGATGTCCATTGTCTATGTTCTTTAGCCCATCTAAGCCGATTTTTCTTTTGCATTGGAGTTAATAGTGGCTTTTCTTTGGCTTATAAACAAGTTGTGCAACTTTAGGGTTCTTACTTCACTTTTTTTATAAGAAAACTTACCTTGCAAGTGCTAAATCCCAGTTTGTGGGCCTCTCTATGAGTTGTGGACCTCGAAATTCTCCTTCCAACAGCGTCACTCCACAGAGCACTTAATTGTAAATAATTGGCACGCCTGTTTTTCACGATTATTCTTCTTAATGCTCTTCGGTAGGCATCTGTGATATTACTTTTTTTCACATATCGTGGCTTATAATATTAACTGAACCAGTTACGTTATATCTTCTAACAATATTTCTCACACTGTACCGCGATAAGTCTAACAGAGTTGCAATTTCTGAGTTTGATTTCCCAGAATTAAAAAATTTAATTATCAGTAACCGAATTTTCTCACTAATAACCTTTCCTCTACCCATTTTGAAAACCTTAACTACCCAAAACTATTTTAAACGTATTCTGACAGCTGTGATTAATAAAAACAATTGTCATGGCTTTCATTTTTCACAGCCACCTATGCGT